TCCCTTACAAAAACCCAGCACCACTCTGCAGCGCAGTGGGAGAAGCTTCACAGCCCTGTGTGCGGGGTTTGCAGAGAGCACACAGCATCGCCCCCTCTGCACCAGGGGTCTGTTTTTAAGACAAAGTAAAGCATTGCATTCTTACATGCTTTTCCTCTGTCTGGCAGAATTGCCTTGTCAGATCTCAGCTCCTGCTCCAAGAAGGGAACAGGCTGCTGCTTAACATCTTGGTTGAAGAATCAAACTTATCAATCTACAGAAGAGACTATTTCTACATCAAAAATCATAGCCTGTGAGAAAAGACACTGCAATAGTTCAGCAGCATTTGCAGCCAGAGTCCAACAGGTTCCTTTGCCCCTGCGGGTGTAAATGAAGCAGAGAAACTTCTACCTCCTCTCCTAAGCTGTGAGCATGGCTGTAGCTGATCAGTAGCTGCAACTGCTCAGTCTCTGCAGGGATTTTAATCCAGAAGAGGAACCCAAAGGCCCAAGGTCCCAGCCAAAGGCAACCAGCAAGGTGCCAAGAGGGCCCACCACATGCAGCAGTACTGCTGTGCTCGGGGCAAGCTGTACTCTTGGATCCAGGCTTCAGCTCAGAGATGTTTGCTGTTCTCAAAACTTACTCACACTGGCTAAAATTCTGTATGAAAATATTTTCCATGAGGCCACAAAGACACTACGCTCTTATTTTGAAACCAATGATTGCTACGTAATTGGAGAAACAAGCTGATGGTGCAGAATTTAGTTTCTTTTCCTGGTTAAAGCCTACGTTGTTACTCCAGGTGAAACTTTCACTGCTGGCAAACCCTTCTGTTCTACTTTAGTATAAATCAAAAATGACCTACACAGACAGCACCAAGCCCCAGGACCAGAGTCCCCACTGCCTACCTGTATGAGAGCTGCTGAATCACAGCCTGAACCTCTGATTGATCACCTGAGGCGAGCAATGAGTCAGCCCTGGGAGCACAGGTGAAGGCAATTCATCTGTGCTGCTGGAAGGGGTGAAACCTGGCTCCACCTCTCCTAGACCCACATAAGAGCTGACTACCAGTGGGGAAGGACCTCTTTCTAGAGATCCCTCCTTTGGAGTTTTACAGCAAGCCCAGGACACAGGTAAGCACTCTATCTATTCTCTTTTTGTATAACCTGATTAGCTAAACTCTCTGGTATATTTCATAATTATAACATCTGTATATTCATCAATTATACACTACGACATCTCTTAACATCACTTCTGAGTGCCAATAATAATTGATGTGGAGTTTTATAAATACCATCTCATTTTTTTCTGTACATTTCATGAGCTGAACATCGTTGCTGCTTGTGCACTGACTTGGGTTGCAACAGGAAGCCTCCTGTTGCAGGATGTAGGAAATAGAAGGATGCTACCTCCTGCCAGGACAGAAATTGCTAAGTCACTCTCGGCTTCTGCCTCAAATGAAGCATGACCCAAAGTGCATCCCTTTTACTGACATCATTAACTAAACTGATTGTTGAACAATGACACCACAAACTAGAACACCAGGTGAGGTTATATCTGACCAACAAAAACAAAACCATCTCCCTGCAGCCTACTGCAAATGGTATCAGGTAGAAAGGAAAACATGGCAACCTTCAAATGCAGTTTCATTCAGAGGATGCCCATTATCTTTGAAAGGAATGAGATCAACTGCTGCCAAAAATCAAGGAAGCAAATCTTCCTCACCAAGGTCTGCTCCAAAACGAAGGATGCATGTTGCAAAACTGCAGTGTTCTCCTTTTGCCTTCCTGTCTGCTGCAACTCCTGGCACCCTGCTTCACAGCAGCTGCTGGCAACTTATTTCAGCTCCTTCTCATTTCCACAGAAAACACAGACCTGTATTCTCTATAGATCAGGCAACAGACCAGGCTGAGCTGGGGAGTGCAGCACGATCTGCTCTGCAGCACTGACACCCACGACCTCCCATGAGTTACGGCTTTTTTTTTTTTGAGTTACTTTTGTGTAGAATGGGAACAACTCTTAAGGGAAGAGGAGGATTTGTAAAATCAGCCAGACCTACAAATAGAAACATTTAGATAGAACAAGATTAGTGGCAGTGGCTCTAATCTTCCAGACAGCAAAGAACTGTGCTGCAGGCAGGAGAGCACGTGCTGCTGCCCTTGGCACCTTCCTCCTCTTTATTCATTGCATAGTTCCTGCAATACATGAGTCATACAAAGACCAATGTAACAACACAGCTGGCTGGCTGCTGGCAGTTATGTGACTGGATGGGACCACGGTTTGACACCCTCAAATGAGAACTTAATTAAATGGTACTGACATGCCAAAGGCTCAGGACTGGCTCCAATGAGGAACATAAACACCACAACAGCAACTCAGCACACTGAATTTGTTTTTAGTGCCACAACCTCTGCACACACACTCGCCCTATCTGTTGCGTTTTTGTGGGTTCAAATGCAGTTTGCAAGCCAAGCACATCTGACTTGTTCTTCTCACTGAGTGCTGCACAGCCTTTTTTTGCTGAATATAGCTGCTATTATTTACTGGCAGCATGTGCTCCCAGTGACCTCTGAGAGCACAACCCTGGCAACAAGAACATGGTTCTTCGCATCCAAACACCACAACTGCTGGGTGATGCTCTCCTACACACCAGCTGGAACTGGAGCACGTCACCACAGAGCCCAGAACACTGCAGACAACAGCTAACTGAGAAAGAAAGGTCTGGGCTTGCCTGTGTTCAACACGTTAGCAACAACAGCCCGACCATAGGATATCATGTTGCCAGACATGAGGTGAAGCAGGATGCTTTCCCTGACCACGCATTCCCTCTGCCCACGAGAAATCTAAAAATATTTTACGTAAGTTAAGCTGTTTCTCCCATTCCACCAGCTTACAGTCAGTAGTCAAAGGTCAGAAACAGCAGCACAGACTTTCCCCCAGCTGACCTCTATCTCTGTGCTGTCCTGATGCTGGGGTGGGCAAACCCATTGACCAGGTTGGTTCAGGGGTTGAGGTAAAGTCTCTGTGTCCCTGGCCAAAACACAGACTACTAACTGGTCTGCTTCTTTTTTGAAGAAGAAATAAAACCAATAAGAGCAACCTCTGAAGAGCCACCAATACCATCAGCTACTGCAGAGAAAGTGCCATTAACTCACTACTCTGACCCAGAAGGAGCAGCCTGTACTCTGAATGCTCTTTCTAACTAGAGAGATAGAGAAAAAAGGAAGAAGAAAAAAGCGTCCCATCAAAAAATAGCTAGAATTGAAACCCTCATGGCCACTAAAACCCAATGGTTTTTATTTTAAGTAATGTATGTTTATTACAATAAACACAAAACATTCCTATAATAAATGAACACTGTCTACAGACACATTCAGAAGATTTAACTAGAGCATAGCTTCCTACCTTTTTAAAACTGGAAATATATGAGAATACAGGGCTTATTTTGGAAAAAGAAAATATTCAAACACACCGAAGATCCCCACTGCTTCATTAACTTTACTGCTTTCCATGCAGGTGAATGTTTAGAGAATGAACAATTAGTGCCTCTGGGTAGGAGGCAAGATGAAAACCAAGAAAGCAAGAATAAAACTCACCCTTTAAGGATGGAAGATTTTTCCATATTCCTGTCCTTCGCACTTACCTTGTTCTCAGATTCTTTGCCTTCCCTCACCCAGATCAACTCCAGATGTTTTAAGACATCTCCACCACCCATGGCAGTAGGTAAGAACTGCCCTGCAGAGTTCACCTGCACCATTTTGGAAAGTTCGCACCATAAAATAGCTCTGTACCCTCTCTGAAGAGCTGGTGCACATGAGACAGTAACTCAGAATCTGGCCAGATTTGGCACTCCATTGTGTTAAAATAACTGTAATTAAAGTGGGTCTTTTTAATTCCCATCGTAGCAGCTGTATTTATAAAACCAGTATTAAATTGCCATGGACGTTAACAAACAAACTGAAAAACGTTAGTTCCTGGGCCTGAATTTCTGCAAGAACTCTAAAGAATAATTCCACAAGCCCCACTTTCTGGGTGCCGCTCTCAAACATGCCTCTGCCTCCCTGTGCACGTAAAGCCTGTGCTGCACGCACCATCTAGTGGCAAGACAGCAAACGCGTTGGTGAGAATTTCAAATATGAAATCATTGCAGAAATCTCTCCTGGACTCATGGTTCTGCTAAGGACTTACAGCTGCTTCTCAACTCTGAATTTTAAAAATACAAACAGGTCAGCGGCACTCATAGAAACACTGAACAAGGCCATTTATGTCAAAAGCAGGGCCAGCACAGAGTATGAGCTCTGAAACGACACAGGAACGTCCGTGAGATGTCTGTGTTTCAGTGTTTACACAGCAAAAATATTCTGTTTTCTGCAGTTAGTGATGGGAACAAGAAAACAAAACACCACACTTCTGGCCACTGAAGCCCTTGTGGCCATTAAAACCTGCATACACTCTGATGCAGGAGAAAATACATGAATTGAGGACACAAGTCACCTTGAATCTCATTCTGAAAAGAAAGGTAAAAGAAATCTTTGCTTTGTTCCTCTTCTGCAGGACATTAATGAAAAGAGAAACCTCTGAATTCCTTCCTGTTGCCAGATCCCAGGTTTGAGTTGGGCTTTCTGGGGTAGGAAGGAGATGGGTCACAGAGCAAACCCATGGCTCCTGCACTGCCACACAACCTGCCTTACTGCCAAGGCCAGAGGATGGCTAGATATGAAGACACAGAGCTGCAGTGTAATCTGGTCAGAGGATAACAGGCTTCATATTTTGTTTGGACACATTTTCCACAAAGTCTGGAGGCATTATTAGCCACTTCTTGATTCTGCAATCCAAGCCCAACTGATTCAAAGTTTTTTGGTCCTCAGTTCTACGCAGTACAGGAAAGGCTTCCCAGGATTATCAGATTGCTTACTTGCTTCCATTTTACCCTTGGCATCCTTCATTGACTTTGGCTACACGTGTACCTCGAGAAAAAGCTTTCAGAATTAAGTTAAAATATGAATTAGACTTCAAGAAGGTTTGAAACAGATATTGGATTTATTGGTCAGCTATGAGTAGGAAAATACATTGGTAAGGAAAAAGAAGACCCTGTATATAAATATAATACTAACTAGTTAAAATTTGACCAAGAAGAAAGTTCCACTGAAGAGAACAGTAAAAGCCCTTGTTTACCATCAGACCATATTCAGTTTCCCATTTATCTTATTGAAGAGCTGCCTATAGACAAATGCAACATTCTTTGAGCTTAGTGCAGATAATGTGCTGGTTTTTGTTACATGAATGGTAAACAAGAGTTAGTCCAGTGCATTACACGTTATACAGAAGTACTGTGAATAAAGACTAAGATATCCTATTTTAGACACTACTTAAACATACCAAGACACTTAAGTGTTACAAATTTATGCAACCAAAAGAAAAGAAGAGCAGTTAACATACTAAACAAATACTGTGACCGGCTGGATGAGAAAGGCTTGCTACTTATGCAGTTAACTGATTATTACCATTTTTAAAGTTTTACAGTGTAATTAGTCGCCGTTTCCAATGACATCGTAATCATTTTGTCTTTAATACAGGTTTTAGCTTGTGGCTGAAAAAGCAAACAATAACCTAAGTCTGCTCAAGAAAACCAAAAGCAACCAAACAAAACCACAAAACACCCGAACTTGAGAGACTTGCTAAAGTTACACCAAAGATGCCTACGTACAACGTTCTAAACCAACTCAGTTTTGTCCAAGCGTTGGCCAAATTTAAAGCTAAAAGGACAAAATAATTACAAAATGCACTGACACTGACTTACGCGCCTTCCCTTCCACCCCTCCCCATTGATGCCATTCTAAAGCAGTAGCCTGTGGATTCACCTTGTAATCAATCTTGTAATCAATTCTCTTAGCTAAAGGTATGCTCAATTTAACATTTTGATTCCCAGAATTCTTTGCAAATGTAAATACAAGTAGACAAGATATGGTTGACCGTATTTTAAGTGGAAAAAAGCCTGCTCAAACCTCAACGAATCCCACTGATGTTCTGTGGCTTTTGCAGTACGTGCTTTTACAACAGGAACACTGAAGGTACATTATGGCAACGTCCAAATCCACCTCCAATACAATACTGCAGATAATCATTTTAAGTCAAAAACTATGAAGCAAATGTTTTGATTGTGTGAAGACGTGGTTTATTGCCTTATTCTATGCTATAGCTGGAAATTGAGAGTTTTGAGTTACATTTGTTTGACGTACGAATGTATTTCCTTTAGAAGTTTATCTCAGCTCCGTTTTGGTGCCTTCTGTTCTTTCCCTGCATTCAAAGTATTTCTCATTCCCTCCTCTCTCGAGTGACCACATGCACTTTGAGCGTAGTCCAGTTAAAACCCAGTGAAGTCAAAGGAGTGCCTTAAATGTTTTCAGTGGGTCTTTAGTTGGGATCTGATAGACTAGTACAAAAGCTGAAGGAAATGGTTACTTAAATGGACCCTGAAGACTGCCAGGTGACTGAGCAGGGACAGCTGTCTCTCCAAAAGCACCACAGGCCACATTTTAATGATGTAATAATTTCAAACATGTTTAAGACTAAGAAATATAGGAGAACACATACTGGATAAAGCTCAAACCTTTTCAATCTACCAAGTGCACTCAAGCTCCAGAATCTATTAAAGAAAATTATCCCCCCTCTAAGAAATACAAAATGAGTAAGTGCTTCCCTTCCCCTTCTGTAAAGCTTTCTGGACTCAATACACAATCCAGATCCTCAGAAAAGAAAAACAGTTTGCTCAGCTGGACGAGCTAAATCCACTCGTCCTCACTGGAAATGGTCATGATGTACATTACCAAGACATCATTAAGGAAACATGAGTAAAACACTTTTTATTCACACTTTACAAAAAAAAAAAAAAAAAAAAAAGTAATAATAACCAACAAAAAGCAAAACAAACAAACAAAAAAAACAAGAAAAAAATAACACTACGCATTAAATCTACTACAGCAATACTACCAGCATTTCAATGTACTGATTATAAACTGGACGTGTTTGGTGTTTTCACAACTAAAACGAAAACAAAACAACCCAGGAGATCAGGTCCCAGACAAGGATTCAAGATCAGAATTTCTTCTACTGCAGTTTAAAAATGTACATTTCACATATCCGAACTGTTTGTCACGTTCACTTTCAGCTTAAAACAGAACGGTCTGAGCACACTCGTGTGCTTACTAATTTTTAATAAAATTTTGAATCACTATTACCAATCCACTCTCCCATATATATAAAAATTCTTAATATTTAGAAAGTTCTCTTAATGCTCAGTGTCCTTTTGCTTCCCTGCCCGCAGCTGAAACAAAAGCTGTTTAAGATCAAGCTTTCTATCTCCATTTATTTTCTTTTTTACATTGATTATTTCTGTGGTATTAGTTTAAGGAGGTGATAACGTCTCTCTTTTACAAAGACACAAGTTAAATTTGTAAGCTTTTATATACTTGGCTTCGTGACACAAATGGCACTGAGGGTACACAATAACTTTCATCTTGACACTTTAAAAATAAGACTTGGTCACTTTAAAAATGATCTGAAGAATTGTCTTTGGGACCTGTTTTGAAAACGCGTTTCTTTTTTACACTGCTTCATCAATAGAAAACGTAAGGGTTTTATTTTCTTCATCAAGGAATTATACTCTGAAACTGAGGAACACACTCAAACTAAGGAGAATTCACATGATAATTCTCAGTGGGAAACAAAGCACTGTGCAATGACACTGAAAGAAGCAGTGCACGGGATTAGAAGCTAGAAACTGTGTACCCATAACCCGAACATGTTCAGAGTGTGATACCCAATGCTTCACAAAGGAAAAAAAGAAGATGCCACAGCTTATACAAAAGTATCTTCATAAAATTTTCACAAGTGTTAACGTTATTTAAAAAAAATAAAAGAGGATGCACAGGCTCTCTCTGCATGCACAGGCAGTGCTAATTGAGAACAAATTTAAGCAGGCACAGTGGAGATAGGACAGGTATTAAAACAGAAATGAGGAAGCTATACACAAGTATCCCTACATTTTACCTCTAAAGTTAGAGATGAGAAAAATATCTGAGTGTATACACATCTGCAGTAACTTTCAATGCATACAGGTCTACTTATATTCACTGCTTAGCTTATATGTTCTGTGAGAACTCCGTGCTTTTCTCTTTTTTAAATCAGAGATCAATAGAATGTATTTAGTCCTCTGTAAGATACTGAGATTTTATAGATTTGGATTTTAAAAGCAACGTTCTCAATTGAACATGAGAAGTAGTACAAAAGGGCTCACAAAACCCTAACAGTGCAAATCGTTAGCAGAGAAAACCTGTGTCAACCTCTTTTACGAGCTGGCCTTTGTAACACATGAAAACAGATAAAAATTTAGCCTTAGTTTACAATACAATCATTTTCCAAATCTGATTTTTTTTTTTTAAAGTACAAAATTTCATAAATCAGGTTTTCTGTTGTTCATATACAATCAATAAAGGCTAAATTCAAATTCTATATTTTACAAACAAGTCTGAAAAAGGAGGGAGTGAAGTACGGAAGAATGTTCTGTGGATGTTCCTACTGGCCTCAAAAAAGTAGTGCTACAGATAACTGTGCAAAGAGAATATACTGTATAACAATTCCCTATTTCAAGGCATGAAAATGTCACGTTGGATAAAAGAAACAGGAAGGTGAACTGCAACGTATTAAAGAAAGGTGCAAATGCACCGATCGCTGTCGACTGTATACAAAGTATAGTGGGCTCAGAATTACGTCTGTTGATAGCACCTGGCTTTTACTATGTCTTTAGCAAATAATTAGATTTAAGATTAAGATCATTAAGAAAAAAATCCCTGTTGGCCATACCTCACTCCTCTATATTCAGATTTTACAATTGTACAGGTTTGATTGAGGTTACCCTCTAAAATGTACTTAACTACCTCCTGCCAGGGAGATGGATTCCGTTTACAGGAGGCAGGAAAGGCAGCAAAAGCTCCAGTTGTGCAAAAAGTGAGAAGTGGTCAGAAGGGATGAGTGGATGTGGACAACCACTTATATTGTTCTCTATTAACCAGTGATGATCCAAAGGTCCGAGAATGCCAAGTATGTTTAGCTGAGGTTTAGAATAGAAGATGTAGTCAATAATACCCTAAAACAAGAAGGGAAATAGCATTATTAGTACATGATCTTTACCCGAGTTGTTTTGCTAAACAAAAGGTGAATTCAGTATTAGGAATAACTGCAATGCTATCATTCCTTCGCTGCAGTTTATCTTCAATTTAGGAGACTTCCATTTCCTGTCCTGTGGGTAGTACAGATTAGAGAAACAAGTGAAAATTCCACCCCACATCACTCCTACTCTCCTGTTGGAGGTTTGCATTTCCATTCTCCTACAAAGCTTCAAAATCAGAGAAATGTAATTTGAAGAACAGAGCCATCTTTCTTTTCCAGAAGTAGCATGGATTATTTCCTCGAAATTGGCAGCTTAACTGTCCAAATTCCACTATTCCATTTAGCTTAGATTATTAGAATACATCATCTTATTTACAGGGAAGGATAACAGTGCCCTTGATCTTGCAGAACTACTATAAGATTAATATGAGAAAGGAAAGCTTGATTTCTAAGAGATGGAAGTTTTAGGCATTCTGTTTGCTAAATGCTTTAAGTGTTTTAAACGAACTTGGTGAACTTACTGTTAGCTACCTAAACATTAACTTCTTTGTTAAACAATTAACTAACTGGATTTCCACTAAGCGAAGTCCTTACCTTGAAGTCAAACGTGTAATTTGTATAAGGCATTAGACCATTCTCATAGGCACTCTTCAACTTGAAACCATGTGTGATTCTTCCATTTGTTGTTCCATTTTTTCCGTTACAACTGAAGTTAGTAAGACTTTCATTGTATCTCAGTTCCTTGAAATCTTTGTGGTTTGTTTCCACTCCACCAGTGCTCAAGTATTCAACAACACCTATCAGGAGAGGCAGATACACAATAAGGTATTAACAAGCATGCAGCAAGTGTGCACGGATTACTTTGAGCTGTATGAGCAATCTTCTGCTTTATATAAGCACACACAATATAGTCAGCAGTTGATCTTAAAGAGATACTGTGAGACAGTGTCTATGTGTCTCAAGAGCAAATGCCACCTAGAACAAAGACTGATTCATTAATTAGAAAAAAAAAAACAACCAGAAAATTAAACAGAACAGACTGTCTTGAGAGAGTTGGGGAAGATAAAAGAGATGGAAGTGAAATTCCATAGGTGCTTGATAGGCCACTTCTTATCTTCACACACAAATCTCAGTTTTCAACACTGCTTGGCTAAAATGACTCTTGGAATCCAAGAGGCTACAAAGCAGAACAGATTCTGCCTGGAAAGAAAAAAAAAAATTAAAAAAATATATCTATGATTGTGCCTCTTAATTTCAGAGCAGCTGTGTTAGGGTTCAGGATTTAAAAGAAGGGACTAAGTGTTCTGAAGGCACAATCAGACATGAACTGCCCACTGCAATAAGCACCACCAATACTTGCTCTCTTTGCATCACAGAGAATCCCTTTTCCAGCACTGCTAAGCAATAGCATCAAGTTAGGGTTGATAGCAATGGCTAAGATGTTGCCAAGTAGAGGCTAAAAGGAAGGTCGACTGGGGATGGAGATAACTATACAGTAATCAACAAGAAAGAAGGATGGTGCTCAAATCCACCACTCAAATCGGGTAAATGGGAAAGAGTCAAGAAGGGCTAAACTGAATCTGCTCTTGAATTCTGCAGTTTGCTACAGTCAAAGAAATCTGCACATTATTGAGGAGCACTGAAGAATTCTTTTCTCATAGGAGACGTATTGAGTTTTAGAAGTCCTAAAACATTTGAGCAGAAGAAAATGATCGTATGGTTGCAACTTTAAAGAGAAGAACATGTATTTTCACACTTAAAACCAATCGTAAAAAACAACCCACAGTCATCAGCAGCACTGTAACACAGAAAGTTATTTTGGAAGACATTTTCTTCTTTTCCATTCCTGTATTTTGAGATAACAATCAAAATGATTCTGAAAAACAAAAATTGAGCTATAGTACTGCACAGGCAGAAAAGGTCACTCACAAAAGAAGCAGTTCCATCTTTTTATTTTCTTAGCACTTCTAGCCCTTGTAATATCAAACAATATATTCCCTGGGTTAAAAATCCCTTTAAAAATTGAGCCCTTAGCATTTGGATTGTCACACACTTGAAATAGTCTGAGAAAAGACTAACAACAGGAGCAGTACTCTTACCAGAGTCGGGCAGAGAGTTGAGATCGGCGCACAGTACAAGTGGAATGGTTCCAAGTTCCCCTGCAACACCAGGCTTGAGACTACGAGAAGCTTTATCAATAATGTTCTTTACCTCGGATAGGAACATCATAGTCTGAACCAGCTTCACATCAGAATAATCTGGGTCCCAATGCATGTGTGCATTAGCAACAAGAACGAGCTGCTTCTCCATCCCCAGATGCGGCTTTCCGGCTAAAATTTAAAATTAAATATTAACCTTGCATAGTCAGCAACAGAAAATACTGTCATCTTTAATTGTGATCAATTTTAAACAAGACGTTTGAGGGGAGAAAAAAGAATACCAGCTGCTTGAAAAGAATTACTACCATTTAGTTTAAGAAGGCTACACAACTCCTCTTGTAACTACTAAGTGCTAAGCGTTTTAGTTGATTCTAAGCACAAGGAATAATCTGATACCAACTCATTCTCTGATACCTTCATGCATCTCCAAGCAGAATCCCTCAAACTGCAGATTTTTTTTTTTCAGCACAAAGTTACAGTAAAAAGGAAATTGGATTTAACAGGTGAATGTAAGTTTAAACACTGCAAGCCCAGAGAAATTTATTTCCAAAGAGGATTTGAGGAAAAGGTGTAGGTTCAAGTGGTGACACAGTTGGCTTTTTGTGTTCATTGATAAAATACAGTGCATTCAAAAACTAAACAGCACTTACATGACATTTCTATCAATTCTTTTCGCAGTTCTAACAACACAGCAACTCCAATGTTATCTTTTGTCATAACTCTGTTCAGCATAGCTTCTGAGCCTTCTGAGTTTGCCATAGCCAGTTGATTGAACTCAACGGTATGTTTCTGAACCAAAGTAAATCTGAAAGAGGAACATCAGATACGCTTTCTTCAGTGGACAGTTACCAAAGGAAATGTTTTAGATAAATTCCCCTCTTAACTAAAGCTCAAACACATTTACGGTAAGAAAGCCTCACCCCATCCTATGATTTCATAGACATCATTAACTGAAATCAAAAGGATACTCTTCTCCTAGTTATTTTTAAGATATCAAGCTGATTTTAATGAAAACATTTATTTTGTAAAAAGAAGGAAGACCTACTGGAAGAGTGCTTCATTTTGATTCCATATAAGATTCAAGCTCAAACTTGCAAGTTTAATAGCAACTAAATACTTGCTTGTGGCATCATTGTGGACACAGAGGAATGGAAGGAAAGCTATGACCATGGCTTGCAGTCTTAATTCAGTCTTTGAGATTTTTATTTTTTTTAAATAAGAATTAAAACGCAAATGTCTTTAATGCCTAATGGCTGTATTTGAAGCATAATTTAGTGAACTCGTGACTTGTTAACACCAAACAGCTACAAAAGGGGTGAGCAATGCCAAATTATTTTGACTTTAGAATGACCCAAGAAATTGTGTGAAAAAGAGCAAGACACAATGAAAGGCTTTATAAATCAAATCACTTACTTTTCTGTTTTGAAAAATATTGCACAACCATCAACATGTTTTCTTTCCTGTTCTGACATTGTCCTAGCTCTAGATTTTGGACTGAAGAATCCATTATAACCACGTTCTTTCAATTCTACCAGGAAAAAACTGTAGTACTGCTCAGTTTCAACCTCCTATAAAGTCAGAACACAGCACACCATGAATCTACTATTACCAAAACACACAAGACTGATATTATTTACTCTTCAGAAGTGTAAATCAGTTCCAAATTAGATTTAAGAAAAAAAAAAAAACCGCACATAAAGAATTAAGTACACTGGAGAATACAAATTTGAGAGCAATATTTGTACTTAAAGAAGAAAATATAAATGAATTTCTGTAATCCCCAGAGTTATGATTATCCTAAGCCTTTTATTGGAAAACCTGTCAATTATACCCTCACGTGCACACACAAAGACACCCCCACATACATTTCTTTGATCAGCAGCTGCTGGTTCACATTCCAACTGTGTGGGCTGAAAAGCATTCTTTTGATGTCAAACAGCAAATACTGCTCTGAACACCACTCCTTTTCTTCCTTTTATTTTTAGAGCGTTTTGAAAACACACCATTTACAGCAAACGTTTTTAATACAGAGAAACAAGCACGTGAGAATTGAAAGGGAAAACAAAATTACAGTCTATCTTTTACCTGAAGACTTATGATGTCAGCGTTGCAGCTCAGGATTTCCTGCATAATGGCTTTTTTTCTGTACTCCCAGTTCAATGCCCATGACGGGCAGTAGCCATACAGCTGCCGGGTAGCGTATTTATCACACAGCACGTTGTAACACATGACAGAGAACAAGGCTGCAGAACAATAATGTTGCTTACATACTGATAGACTAACAACAAACATACAATTATCTTCTCTATTGTCTTCTGCAGACTTAGGAATTGATAAGTCCTGCAACCAAAACGCAGCACCTGCACTGTAAAAGCATCTTTCAGTCCTTCCAGGAGGACAAATTACCTCCAGGTTGGGATTTCTGGCAGCCGTTTACTAACATATACATAGAAACCAAAAAATCAAAACAACTCTTCATAAGGTTAATGCAATATACAGCAGAAAAATGTACTTCACATTAAGTGGTGCATTACTGGGAAAAGCCTTGAAAAAGGAGTTTCAAATGGATTTTAGATAATCTATTTGAGGACTTTACATACCTTAGGATAGCTAATGAATTTATCCTAATTTGTACCACCAACTGTAACAGATCCACATAATTTCACAGATTCACAGTTAGGGCAAGGAAGCCTTCCCACAAAACACAAGTATAGGTAAAATAAAAACACAATTTTATTTCCATTTCAAAAACCTTACAATTTACAGAAAAAGAAAAATCTACTTCTCAGCATTAATTTGGAATGGGAGGGATATAATGAAACATTCTGGGGCAAGATTACAGGTAATCCAGCAGCATATTTGCTTTTGTTTCATAGAAAAAGCTGCATTTTAGTAAATAGAAAAGGCTTTATTTTAAACAATTCATGCAGAAGAAACTAGTAAACAATTACACATAACCTGAGACCAAATAGCAAGAAAGCATGGAGTCAGATGACACATAGGGAACTTGAAAGAAAAATCTTTACCTTTCTGAGGCATTACGATCATGGTCTTCCATTTTTTATTCTTCAACAAATGCTCAGTTAAGCCTGCTACAATTCAACTAACTCACTCACTTTGGACAGTAATTTCAGTTTCTGTGAAGAGTATGCTAATTAAAAGGAAATTATAACGGAATCTGAAGCAGAGGTTCTAGGTAGGATGGGACTGCTACAACTAACTGGCTGTCAGCACTGGGCAGATGACTGGTTAATTTAAGCATGAAAGATCTTAGTGGCAGATAATAGAGATCAACATTTGATATAAAATGAATAAGAATTTCTTGAAGTGCTACAGTACCTGTGGGTCTGGTACGGTCTGGTTCTTGTAACATAATCCAAGACCTTGGAGGTGGTTGTTCTGTTGAGACTATGGAAATATTTTCAAGTAGAGACAAAAGTGATAATCACATTTATTTCACACAGCAGGAATAGATCTTCTAAGAATGATCACTTACTTCTTTTTGCAGTACCTGCCAAATTATCAAGCAAATAGTTCAGTAGCCTTCGTGTCCCATCTGGTTCCTGATAAAGGTTCAGAATGTCCTGTGTGAGTGGATTTCCTGCAATCACATTTACAGAAATGCTGAATGAAGGATACAGAACCAGCATGAATTTACTTATCAGTGTTAAAAGCCAGCATCACTGAGAAAGAATACTAAATCTATTATCTAACAAGCTTCAAATCTCAGGTATTCAATCCCACAAAATACTGCTAATGTAGCCTGTTACTGAAACAAGCACCTTATCTGATTCCTGCACAAGCAACAGAAAGCTTCTTGCTCTGCAGAAAGAGGAGAAGCTTTTTTACACTTGGAGGATTTCACCCAAGTGACTCTTGTTCCTCTCTTTAACAATTACTAAACAATGCTTATAAAAGCGGAGTGAGCAGCTACATCTGGGATTGCTGCTCAGAAACATTCATGAATTAGCAGTCTACAGCCCTTATATTGCAGGAGAGACATCATTAAACAAAGCACAGATACCAAGAAAAAGTAGTAATACCTTTCAGACCCAAAGTCTGTAACTGGAACAGTTTTCCCAGCTCAAAAGGTAAAACTCGTAACAGGTTGTTATTTAAATGTAGTTCCCTGTAGACAGAGTAACAATCATATAGGGCTGAAAACAGACCTCGGTTTGTCTTCAGCAGCCTATAGTACAAGTTACTAAAAGAGAAACAATACACTAACAAACCACAGCATAGGAAGAAAAAAAATAAAAATAAACAAACTTGAGCACTGAACAGCATTAGGGGGATTCTGCTGTACTCACACATGCACAGACAGAATGGGTATCAACTGAAGGAAGGAGGAAAACAGGTGAATGGGAAGCTCATCTTAACAAGACAGAAATATGATAAACATCAACAATTACTAAAGCATTTAGTAACTACAGTGATCAAGCAGTAAAAGCTCTGGCAAACCAGGCCGTGAAACAGCTCAGCTGTGATCCATGATCCAAGGCCAACTAAAAGAAAATTATATTCCAGAAAACAAGTAAGCAAAAAATTCAGGACCATGGTAGTACTACTAGAGCTTGGACATTACTGTGTTAGTGCAGGGAGTTACGGCTCTTTTTGGTTAAGGTCTCTTGAGAACACTGTTTACACTTCATAAAAAAAGCAGAGTGCATGCCTCCCAGGTAGTTCATTCTCTCCATTAAGCTGCTTGCAGTTGTCTCACAAGCAAAGCGCACACTGATCTGCTGCGTACACATTTCCAGGCACACACACACACAAAAAAAGAGTCTCTCACCAACACTGTTTTCATAACACAAAATACACCTTTTTTAACTTCCAAAATTGCAGAACAAACACAAAAGCAGAATTTATGCCTGGAATTCTGATCAATTGGGCAGAGAAAAATGGACTACTCAGCAAGCTTTCCAATTTCTTAGAATCATCCCAATCTAAGTTGAAGACTTTGCTCACAATTTCCAATCAAATTTGCTTCCTTCAGATTTCTATGAGACTGCATTTGAAAAGGAAAGAAACATCTCTTCTTCTAGCCTTGCAAAAGTCAGCTCTATCTGGTCCTTCCCCAGCACTGACTTCCAAAGATTTAGAAAGGATGCGAAGAACAGAGGGGTTCGTTTCACCAATGCTGAAGTGGCGTGGAGCAGTGGAAGATGAAGGAGGAGATTGTTTTTAATCAGCTGGTTGTCTAGAAGTGGCAAGCCAGCACTCAGCTGAAGTGGCAAGCCAGTACTCAGCTGAAGTGGCAAGCCAGTACTCAGCTAACTGACAGGCTACAACACACCTAACACCTGGTCTGTAGTTGTTTTGGTGTTTCTTTGGAATATGAAAATCCTACAATTGAAAACACATATTTCAGCCTAACTCAGAAGCCCACTGTGTTGCTCTGGGGTTTTAAGTACGAACAAGACACACAGCAGGTTAAAAAAAAAAAAAAAAAAAAAAAGAGAGAAGATATTATGATATTATTTACAGAAAAAATATCTGAAAACATCAACACTCCCAACAGTTCTCAGCACTTCCATAAACACTTAACATTCAAATAGATACAATTTTTTTTTTTTAATTATTTTTAATTATTATTTTTTTTTAACATTCCATATGACTTTAAAAGGCTCCTAATTCATTCTTTAGGAAAGCCTTTTTTCCTGCAACAGCTTTTCAAAGCACTACTAAACTCTAAAAAAATTTAAAAAAATAAAAATAAAAAAAATAAGAAAAAAATTATATACGAATTACAAAAAAACCATAGTTCTCAATCTTCTAGTGGAAAATGAGTGAGAAGGAAGAATGGCAGAGTAGTAAGTATCATCACCATTTCTCTCTTGGATGAAAGAATTTGTTTCTCTAATGATCTATGCATGCATGGAACCCCTGCTGTACAGAAGAGATGATCACAGCAAATTCTGCCAGTTCTTTCAAGTGTACCAAGAGAATCTGTTTTAGATCTGAGCTTTCCAAGCTAGCACGTTACAGTTATTTCTCCTCTCTCCTCACAGATCAGACATCTTACTGCTCCCCCTGACACCTCCTCCTTCAAGTACCTGCAGTAAAAAGGGAGATGCCACGAGCTCTGCCACGCAGCCCAAACCGCTCTCCAGACGTGGGAGCTGTACGACCTGTTACCGATCCTGAAGTGTGAGAGCACAAATTGTTTCTGTGGCTCAGGATATTAGCAATGCCCCGTGCTGAATTACCGTTAGTTTGAACGACTCCCCAGAACCTATGGGAAGCATCTGCAGCGAGAGCCAGCCTGAAACATAACAGTACAGCACAGCTGAGACCTGCAGAGCGCTATCACACAGGATGCACTTACGGATTTTCTTCACTTTCACCACAGTGAAAAGAAATCATGGATCAGCTGCAATTACTGAGGACAGAGAGAGCGCAGTGGATTAATGCACTAGTTCTTCATGTCTAGAGATCTGGATTTCAGTGCTACGTTTTTGTCACAAATAGAACTCTAGTTTGACCCTAGGCCTCAGCTACACATCTCACATTCACGAGCTTTATCGTTCTCTACTGAAAAGAGGTCGAGGACTTGGCAGAGCTGAACCTCCAGAGCCAGAATAAATTGGGAAAGTGTTGCGAAGATGGCATTGTATCTTTTGACACTACTGATGACTATGCAAGGGTAAGCTAACTTCAGGTAGTGAGTATTAATTTTATAGCAGCACTGTAGAAGGAAAGAAAAAGATTGATGAAAATGAAAGGATGCTGATGAAATACAAAGATGAATTTGAGAATGTACCAGTAAATTTAGGATTGCTAGATCACGATATCTGAAAGTAGATAAAGGAGAGAAGAAAGTTATCATAGATTGAGATGTGAACTACTTTGGAATTTGAGCTTTTGGTTCCAATTTCATCAGCTAATTTAATCCTCTCCAACAAAGTGGTCTTTGCTAAAGTAGAATAAAATTCAATGACTAATATTTCTATGTGCAAACTCGCTTGGCCTCCAGTTTCATAAAGCTGTGCTGGTGGTCCATTACTCCTTCTTACTTCCAATAAAATTCTAGTTACTTTTAGACTCAGAGTTCTCTGGTCAACAGAGCTGACCATAAACATCTTCAAAATTATAATTAATAAAGTAAATTGCTGGATATAAACCTAACAATAAGGCTTTTTTTTTTTCTGGTCAAGAGCAGAAGTCTATTGCTTGTAGATATTTACCTTTATATGTCATTTATGTGTTTACGCAACAGTGTTCTGCAAACAAAATGAAATGTTGCAGTCTTAACTACAACACAAATACTCATTACTACTGGTGTTTCACATCCAAAAGGAGGTATCATTCCATGAAAATTCTGAGGAGCTAAACATTGTAAAATTCAGTGAAAAAGTTGCATACAGTAGATATTTTTTCCTCCTTAATTTCCATAGGAATGTAATATAGTAAAGGTGGGAAAGAGATGATATTAGAAAAGTTGCATTCGCTATTAAACCCAGAGAATAAAAACTAATATTATTAGGAATAATGAATAAATAGGAAAAACAGTAGTTAATACAACTGTGAATGTTTAATTGGACCCTTTTCCTACATTGCAATAAAGGCAATTTTCTGTGTATCAGTATTTCTTAGATAACTCCAGAAAGATTTGTAAAAGAGTTTAGAAAGAGATGCATAGGAATGGAAACCTGACTTGGAAAGTCATAAAATGGGAGACTGCTGTCAAACTGAGCACTTCTAGAGCTCATTACAGATATATGATGCCATACATCAGAACAGGGTATCACAGAACAGGAGAACACTGAAAAAAATCAAGAAGAGGGAATTTGTTTATGCTTTTCACTTACTAGAACATCTCTATTACACCAAAACCCAGGCTACTTCTACAAAGATAATAGTTGAACAAGTTAAACTCCTGTTAAAACTCACATACCTGAGTGACACCATGTTTCCGAGCTCTGCTGGTAAACTGCGGATTTTATTAGAGGACAGGTCCAGATACACCAGGTTATGAAGCTTGGCAATGTCTGAAGGAATACGGGATAAGGAATTGTCACTGAGATGCAAAGCTGTCAAATGGGTCAGTGTCCACAATGATGAACTTAAGCTTCTCACTTTCCCTGTGGAAGGAAGGTAAAGAGAGAAAAATTTAAAAAATAAAACCAATGAATCACTGATCTTACAGATTCAAAGAATCAAGCACTGCTGTACTGACTGGGCAAAAACAATGCAGACTTAAGTTCTGAGCTTTTGCCTTTTCTCAAGTTCCATACAGAACAACAGACCTATTGACTGACCATCCCCTCAACAGTTAATAGACGTTTAAGAAACATTTCTTCAATTACTGTTTATATTTGGGATACAAGATGGTTCTTCAATTTTCCTCTTATTTCTGTGGAACATCTTCCAAACCAAAGATCTTTGTTCTGCGGCATTCATCCAGCCAGGAACAGGCAGAAATACTATATTTGGAGTGACCAAAGTGCTTGGTTGAGAACACGGATTTCCATCTGGCATTCAACTGAAAGCTGAATACATCACTGCCAGAGAATTTTTTAAAAGGTATCATTTTTGTCTAAACTGAAAGGTGAAACACGGATTTGCGTTACAGAATCAAGGCTCTTACATCGCAGCACGCAAACAGTGAGAGATATAATCAGAAGAAGGTCTCAAAACATTTCTTCCCTCCAAGATTTTTTCCCCTCAGGAGGAGCCCTTTTTCATTTGCAAGAATCACCTCACTGCCAACTTGAAGGACGAGCATCACCATCAGTTTCTCTAAGGTTAAAAAAGTGCTAAAGCCTTTGAAAAACCCAGCGTTAAAAACATCATAGTTAATAAATACACCGACAGGTACACATAGTAATTCCTTTTATTATGAAGAACACTATTTAAGGAAACAGCTCACATACAGTGCCTGGGGAAAGCTACACTGATACATGTGTATCTGGAAGGCAGTCCGTGGTAACAAAATGTTTAATGCAGGTGTAATTGCCAGAGAGCTACAAGAGAGTGACTAGGACACAAAAGCCTGCCGCTAAGAGCTCTGAGATTTCAATAAAAGCAATTAAAGCATTTGTGGCTTTCTGTAGCAGATGACCAAGTATTTTGCAAGGAAAAGACAGTGTGATCATTAATGGAACAAAGACACTGCCACATTTTATTTTGCAAGGCAAATGCATACAATTCCTTCAAGGATTCATTCTCCTGTGATGCTCATTAATAATTTTTTGGAAAGGTTTTTAAGTACAAATCAGTATTTCTCTGCATTTTTAAAAACTGCATTAACAACTCCTCCCTCTCTCCTAGCCTCTAAAGGCAAACAGGTGACTGTGATCAAACAAACCTTTCGAGCTGAAAGGATTTATATATTCTCGTCACCACCTAAGTTTCTCTTGGCTGGAATCAGACTGTAGTAAGATCACAAAGCATGAAAGGAAAGAGCTATTACTTAATGCATTTCCTTTGAAATGATATTCAAGTTTAAATTAATACTTCTTTGAAGCAGCATTTAACTAGGTTTCTGCATCTGTAACCTTTGAGTAAGTACTGAAATTCACATGTAAAGACATGTGGCACTTGAAGCAAGACACAGATTCAGTGATCTGGAAGGGAAAGTCTTCACAATTAGAAGTCCAATTTGCTTTCTATACACTTCTCTATTGAACAGCCACTTAGAAATGCCAATCTTTTAAAGAAATTCCTTATTTAATCAAAATTTCAGCTTAAAGCTTCAATTTGTTATCGCTTCTTCAGTTTACCACTGAATGTACCACACTGAGCTTAGAACTTCTTTCCTACAGCTCTTTCATACTCCCTATGTTTCTCGTTCAAGCTCATACCATGCAGGCTGCTCTTACAATGCACTGAAACCTTAACTGAGGATCATTCCCCAGCTCCTCACCACTTATTTCCAACTCTGCCCAGTGTGATTTCTTCCCGTTGGCTGCTTCCTCTGAGGACATAATTGTGTACATCCTCCGTGGATCAGGTGGATCGTACTTTTCCTTGGGCATTCCTGTCGATACAGAACAACAAAGGATTATGACATGTTAGAGTGAGAATTCTTCAAAAGGTAATTTCCATTTTACACCTAGGTATTGTACTGGATATTCAATCCAAATATGTAAAGATAATCTGCAACTATCTATAAGTCTATACTAGAATGACAAAGATCCAACCCCAGCCCCCAATAATTTAACCATGTCTAATGCAATACAAACATTCCATCCTGACATCCCTCATGAGTACACCCCTGTACTGCTCTGCAAACACCCCATCACACTGCAGTCTCCTTCGCCACTGGCCTACAGAAGCAAAACCTCCAGCAACCACAGCTAGACAAAGAAACTTTTAGACTTTCCATTCTCCTAGCTGGTCAGAAAGCTGCTTGCAATAACAACCATATCCAAATTCTTTAACAACGAGACTTCAGAAATTGATCACCACCACCACCACCACCACATTCCCCCTTGCACAAACTACAGAAAACGTTTGCTACTATTCTTGTCTACCCATCACTTCCAGGCTTACTGCAATTCTCAACTCATGACACAAATTCAGTAACCAAGAAAAGAATGTTTCTAAAAGGATCCTCAATTCTTCAAGTCTGCAGAACAACAGCACTGCAATCCAAGCCTTAGCCTACTCTTCTGAGTCTAAAAGCATTTCTAACCTAGAGATTCTGATCAGTTTCTTAAGTTTTAGCGTTAAGCATCTAACTGATCTTAACTTCTCTCACTCTCTTCCTCATCGTTCCTGATAAGAAACTCAGAAACATTTCTGGTCAGTGCTTCTTCATTACCACAGCCCAGCCTGGACAGTGGAAGAGAACTGCCAAAAATTCCTCTAGGCAGAGCCCTCCCTCCAGCATTCCTGTATGGCAGCAGACCAGTACCACCTCCGTGCACAGAGAAGGAATGAGAAAAAGGCAGTACTGCTTTCTTTCCACCTCACAAATAATATATTTGGGATTCGGTCAGTTGAAAAGGGAAAACAGCTTAAACTTACCTTGATTTATATAAATACTGTATTAGCTTACCCATTAGTTGCATGTTTTCAGGTTACAAAGGACTCCCAACATACATCATTTTTACCACAAATCAAAACACGCTATTGCACAGTTCCATGCATACATAAGAGCTTTCATGGCAAAGCTCCCCATCTTACATTGAAGTATCCACACCAAGAAGCACAAGCCATGAACCACGGAAGTGATTTATGTGCAATAAGTTGAACATCAGTCACTCAAAACACATTTACAAATATGTTAGAAGCAAAGCGATACAACTACTAGAGCAAAACACATAAGAGCAATGCAGAGAAGCTGACACCCTGATAACACCCAGTTATCACACCTAGCAAGGCTTTCTATCGAGTCTTTTCTTCAGCCCTGGGCAAACTGAGTACATCAGAAAAGCACTGCACCTCACTGGAGCATTAACAATAATCCTCACCAGGCCACCAGCCAGACCTACTTGCCATTTATTTAATGGAAGTTATTTATTACATACATTAAAAAACAAAATACAGCTGATTACGTGACTTCATTAAAACAAAAGTTATCTAGTGCCAACTGCTTACTGCAATGCAACAGCTCTTCTATTGATTCACACCTCTTCCCTTTCCCACTCCCACTGCTGGGCAGAACCTGCTCCACCCAGAGAAAAGAAATTCCTCTTTAAGAAGTGAATTCTGGGTAAAGCTCTGAGATTATAAATAGCAGCTGGGATGGGTTCCTTATAGAATGGCCATACCTGAGATCTGAGGATGCTAAAATCATTAAGTGTTATGCTTTTAAACTAAGCTAATTAAAATAGGTAAGACTCAACTGAAAATCACCAGAAAGGTAAAAACATAACTTTACCTTGTAGTAGCTATTTAATGAGTGCAATCCTAGATGGCAAAACAATACATACAGCATCTCCTCTGAAACTGCTACAAATGAGCACGCCTTTCACAAAGGCTGTCACCACAGAGCGCTGCCGCCGTGCCTTTCCAGGCAGCATTCCCCTCCTTCACCCCTCTGATGCATTCTCTTCCTGCATCTCCTGCACTTAATAAACGTGCTCCACTTTCTAAAAACGAAAGCAGGTAGTACTAGAGACAGAAATCTCATTCAGTACGGAAATGTGAATGCTCCCCAGAGCACAGTCAATCACATGCACTAATTAACAGACTTGCTGGTACCAGCGCTACATGGCCTCCCTGCTACCAAAAGAGGATGACATACTTTTCCAGTGGGTTTTGTTAATGCACGGTAACACGACTGATGAGATTTAACAACTGCAGGTTTTAACACAGGATATCAGTGAGCCCGTCCTGCCAGTGTCACCATCTGACCCGTTCTCAGCATTCCTGTTTGACAGATTTCCCTTTCCCACTGCTGCATTTCAAAGTGCAAAGCCTAAGCGTAGGATCACCCCACAGCAGAAAAAGCAGCAAGTGCAGACTGGGCAGCCTTGCCCAAGGAGCAGTGCTGGCTCTGAGGTGCAGCACTGACATGGGAAGGCACCCCACGAGATCTTTGTGCACCTTCATTCATCGGGTAGAGCTGAAGATTTCCCAGGCCCTGACAGCCAGAGTAAATGTGGGTCACGCTGGCCACCAAAGAACACAAATGTGGTATCTTGAACTAAATTTCAAAACTGCACAGCAGGGAATAGTTGGATAAATCACTGCTTTCTGCAAATCACTGCCTCCTCTTCTTTCTCCACCTCCCCCATTCCAAATTTAGAACCTGCTGAGGTAAACGTCAGATGAAGGGATATGGTTTTGTCAGACTAAAGCAATTTTAAGAGGCATAAAAACGGTGCTGGACATCCTTAAAGCCTTTGATAAGTGCAGCTCTAATAATGTAGCTTAACACAGCGATCATTTAACATCTCATTTTCAAAAGAGCTTACACCACCTGTAATTTTCAGTTGCACCAGCAGACTGCGGAAAGCACCACTGAATATTCAGCTGTTACACACTCCACTTAGTTGGCAAGGGAGAAATGGTTTATCAACAACGATAGGACACAGACAACAGAATGCATTCCACGCAACCAAAATTCATGCACTGAAGGGCATGTAATGATGTTTAAAAGCAAATTAAATTGTTTACTATGTTGTACCAGGTTGTTAGAACTAAATTTAAAAGCTGAAACACAAAATTGCTTGAGAGTTGACGAGGAGGACAGCTGCCCACTCCTACCCCAGTCACTCAATCCCAATGCAGAATTAACACTCCTAACCCTGCAGGAGCTGAGCTAAACCAGGCTGATGATGTCAAGAGCAAAAAGCTCTATCTGACACAGGAAATCAGATCGGGAACCTTCAACACAGACACAATTTTAAGCCTTTGTTTGCATGAATGGCTCTGAGAGAAAGAGAGCAAAAAGAGAAACAAAGGGAAGAAAAATACTGAAGATTGCCAAGTCAAGGGAGGCCAAACTGTTAGGAGTGCTGACAGTGGTGACTAATACAAGAAACAGATGATGGAGTGCTGATTTGGGCTTCTCTCAAGATCACTAGAGACAAACCAAATTCCCACAGGGTTGAGTTGCACCTGTGCCAATTGCTGCCCAACTCTCCAGGTTAAAGCAATGAGTGCAGTCGGGTGATTAAGAGCCAGGCTAGCTGTTCCAGAGAACTGTCCTGGAAAAGAATTGTGATTACCAGCAGCTGTGTGAGTGGGTGTGCTGCTCCATTAAGCAGGGGCTGCTCTGCTGCCGAAGAGCATTTATAGCCAAAGCACCAGCACTACTGGGTGTGCAGGCTCAGAGAAAGTTAGTGGCCTAAAAAGGAAGAGCTGTCTAAGGGCCAAGCTGCTTCTGCTGCACTGCTCTCCATGGAAGGATGAGAAAAGACCACAGCCCCAGGGCACGGTAAGTCTCCTATGTTAGAGCAAAATAAAAGCTGGAAACTGGGCTACGGGGCAGCTAATGATCCAAACTCTAGAAGGTATCACTGAATAATGCCTCTGAACTAGAGGGGTGATAGTGTGGGAGAACTACTCTGAGTGACAAAGCAGGGAAGAGGATGGCTTTTTCTTCCTCCTGTCCTTCCCTTTTGCTAGTTTTATGGAATTAGAAAATGGCATAAAGCATGATTTAACTGAGGTAAAGTTTTTCTTCTTAATAGAGAGAACAAAAAACTACAGGTTTACATCTGAAACACCACAGATAAATGACTTCTTTTTCAAAGCTAAATGCTTTAGGCAGCTCCTGTAAGCCAAATCTACTATCCACCCTTCAAGTATTAAGTTTACTAAGAGTGTTAAGTTCCTCATAAAGTATTTTCTAGAAGTCTTAACTTCTTCCATACCAGACATTAAACCAGGCAAAGGAAACTTTTATTCTAAAGCTCTATATAAAACACTGAACCAATTAAAGCAGTGTAAGTTAATATTCAGATACCATTTTAACTTCCTCTGACTGAATCCATTATTCTGAAAGAACTACTGCAGCATATATGAAAGAGCCTCTGCAAAGCCTACTTACAAATATGAGTACCCTTAGAAATACCAACACACTAGGCTGAAGCAGCAGGAATCTGCATCTGAAACTCTTTGACATGTGCTGAGAACTTCTTGCTTCCTTTTCTCCATTCCTTGAGAATGCTAAAGCTGATGTAGACCGAAAAGCTTCTGGAAAGGAGAAGTAAAAGTAAAACCACATCTGACTGAGTGCATAATGAAACTTGTTTCTTTTTATGTCAAAATTGTGAATAAACTATAGAAATCAAAGTCTAATAAGGTTGGAAGTAAGCAGATAACTGAAGTGTTTTCCTTTTGCCAGTGCAGTAGACACACACTGCATCTGTTGAAAGCAATAGGAGAGGCTAAAGTACTAAAACTATGTTTACTAGACAGTAAAACCAGTCAGTCAATTAAAAATCTAATGAGATGTTTGTAACCTGTGAGGCCTTCTTTCCCCCCGCTCTCCAAACTCTAACACTGGATGTTCATAGCAGATCATTCCTTTGTAATTTTGTGCCTTTAACCTTGAAGCTTCTTCATGTAATCCAAAACTTTACTCAAAAATCAGATCCAACGGTTTTCCCCACAAATTAGTATCACTGCCTGATAAGCCTTGAACTCAAAGTTAATCTGGGATTCTCCTCACCCCCAGCTGCTTGCCTCGTGGTTTTACTTCATGCTATGCAGAACTAAGCTGGTCCTCCTGCGGTTCCTCCCTCCTCAGCACTGTTTCCTCTTCACTCTTGCATCAACACTGATCCTTCTCTGGTAAGGAGATGAGCTGGGTAAGAGATGTTCACTGGCCAAAAGAGGGTGGGAGGAAAAAAGAAGGAATGCATTTGGGAGTTCAATTTCCTGCCTCATAGTAGTAATTTAAGTGTGTATTTGCAGCACAGCTCTTCCACAGACTGAAATCCAAACAACAATGTCATTGTTTCTCTGGCCATACCTAAAATTTTCTCTTGCCCAGCAGGAAGCAAAATCTTGCTTCCACCTGCCATCATCTAGGCATTAGTTAAATAGTAACATTGAACAAAGTCTAAAATCCTACATGAAGTCAAAGTACAACGCTTTTTAGATAACAAAACTATACTAGGCCTTATGTATAGTCAAATCAAAAATGTTAGCCTGTGAATGAAGGGTTAATATCTCTTCTACTGAGCTTTATTAGGGAGAACAGAAACTATTGCTTTGAACTGTAATTAATGATCTCTTTTTAAAGAGAAGGAACAACAGAAATGCAGCTAAAAGATGCCTACTACACTGTGGGAGGGGGGAAGTTAGGCTAATTTTATAACACTGTATTCCTATGTTCACTATAAAACCTAAAGTTTACTAAGCTTGTTCTTTCAAGTACACTCGCTTTCTGCATTTCCCACAAAGCACTAACTGCTCTTTAAGGAGGTGTTTGCTCAAAGAGAATTAAGTTTATTGCTTTCATGTTCCCTTCAGCATTGGCCTTTTACTTATAAGTGATGATTTCTATGGGAATTGAACTATGTTTCTGCCTGAAGTACAGGCAAATGAAGGAACAGCCCTGTGCATGTGGCTGCTGTCCTGGCTGGGATGACGAGGTGCAACACCTGTTTCCCCACAGAAAACAACAGAAGCTTGAGCAGGTTTATGGCACAGCTTCACACACTCTTGACTGGATGAGTTGAGGCAATACCTGGATTTACCCTCAGTCCATACCATGTATGGACAACAAACTAGTTAATGGCATTAATCCTGGAAAATAATGGAAGAAGTAGTTGTAGGCAAGATGTGGCAGTGAGGGAGGGGAAAGAAGCAAACATGCCCAGTGTATCCCAGCTGGACCTCAAGTGCCACGTGAGGCAAATTCAATGTACTTTAGCTAAATTCTTGTTCAAAATTTGGGACACAAATATACCTGCATGCGCACCCCACAGAACTTGTACAGAGAAAGGCATTTAGTTCTTTAATTCTTGATATACCTACAAATCATTTTAAACTTATACAGTCTTATAGTTCAGATACATGATGTTAAAAAAAAGCTTCAACATGGTACATATCTGGATTTCCCAACCACTCACAGCTTCACACAAAGCCAATTACCATGCTATGTAATACTGCTTCTGCTTCTATCTTGCTACAAAGCATAACTATGCAAACAGATACACCAAAGTGCAGAAATGTTTTCTCCAGTGAGGAAGAAAACAGACTAGAGCCCATCAGAACACCACAAATATTTTCGTGTTGAATACTCAGGAGTTTGAGGACTTGCCTATCTATTGCAATGCAACCTTACATTTAATACTGAGTGAATATGATTGCTCTATTGAAATACACATAAAAGAGCTCTATGAGAACACTTAATATTTATGTAAGACTTGAATACAGGGAGGAGGAAAGTCTGTGTAAACATGCATTTGTTGAACAGAGTAAGCATTCTTGGCATTTTATAGAAGGTATTTGAGTAGGGTTTTTAGGTATATAGCATTGAAAACATAAAACTGGGGGGAAAAAAATCACTGATCAGGGAACTTGCTAAACAGTAATGAGAAGTTCTCAGAATACAGCCTGGGATTTACATTTTCTTCTCCCTGGAGTGAGGATGGTGGCACGTTAGCACTGCTGGCATGGGGGAGCAGCACATGTGAGCCCTGGAACGCACCCGCACCCCCAAGAGAGTCGTCTCTAATGTGTGGGAAAATGTCAAAGACTCCTTTAACCCACTGATGGCTTAATGCTGGAATAATCTAAATCAAGAAAGGGGAGGAAAAAAGATGTTGAGTACCCAACACAAAGCCAATTGATTCACTTCAAGTGCTGCTTCGCTCAGTGGGATGATGCTTCAGGGGCTGTTAGTGTATTAACATTTAATGGCTCCATCAGGGAAGTAATGCTGCCTCATCATATTTTGAAGAGCTCCAAAACCAGAGTTCTACCTGGCTGCCAATACAAGGCAATAAGGAACCCTTCCTCTTCTGCAGGCTTACATACCATGAAGGTATGTGAGCGTGCCTCACAGTTATGTGTAAGGTACTGATTAAGTCAACGTATGCTGCTTGAGTGAGTATCTGTAATGCAGGTAATCAGGTGAAGTTACTTGGTTTTGCATACATGCAGCAAATAAGGTGTACTACAGAAAACTTGGAGGCTGACGTGTGCCTTAGCGTTCTTTCACAAAATCTATATGGAAATGAATTCTGCAAAGCTCTTACTCTAACTGGAGTTGAATGGGAGTCAAACTCCCTGGAATTTTGTTTTTTAAGGGGGGGGAACAAAGCATCTTGGTTTCTATCAGCGGAGTCACAAAGTTGCAGGGTGTGTTTGCTATTTTCCAATCCTGAAGGCCTGATCAGACCACAGAGCTGTAGTACCTAACCAGTTCAGGCTCTATTTCATTAAGTCTAAAAATAAGTCAATTCATATTTTTTAAAATGAGCACATTATTAAATTTTAACCTTCAGGTACTTAAAATGTAATAAAGGTTTCTTTGTCCTCCTTCACTCTGCGTTTATAGGAACATGAGTTGCTTGGTGCTGAGGTGCATGGCAGGGGCAGCAAGGCTGCTGTTCTCCAGACCCACAGCTCCCCTCCCCAGCCCTGCCACCCCTGCACTCCATTGGCAATCATGATTTCCCAGCAGACAAGCAACCTGAAGCGCAATATTCTAATGGAGTGCAGGTAACCCTCAGAGCCTAGAGGAGTGACAACATCTACTATAGGTTCAGTAGTGCAACGCAGCAATTCTCACTTCCACATTCAGTTGCTATAAAGATCAGTTTAGGCTCAAAAAAGAACTGTAACACAAAGTATGAAAGGCATGTTTCAGCCCAGAGGTTCTTGATTGCTCTATCTTTTAGACAGATCTACTTGATAAAACTTTAGCTAGATTTTGATAACTAATTTCCCACCCCTTAGACTGCAAAACATCTAATGATTAGAAATACTACTTCCAAATGTTCTAAGTGTAGCACAGAGTCCAAATGGTTAGCACAGTTCTTAATTATCAGCAATTATAAATAATTATGCCTATAGTAGAAGGCTGCTGTATACAAAACAAACATTAGTGCAAAACTAAATTGCAAAGCAAAGCCTGACCTTGAACTGATATCCCTAGAAACACTTTGTCTAGCTAATGAATGCTAGGCAACGTTCCGAATGTTTTATCTTCTATTTTAGTGTATTCTGAAATGCCAGTACATTAAAAGACCAGTCGGGTTTACTAATTACTCTAAGAATTCATTTTAATTGCATATTATATACAGTACAAGTAAGATGGAACGTAAGACATCAACTTTAAATGGAAGAGTTCCATCCCAAAGCCTCATGTTCTAAGTTTTAAAAAAATGCAAATCAGTGCTAAGACCAAGGCTCCAAAGCAGGTGAGGTCAGCCTTTCTGAAGGTGGTTGAAGAATGGTCTTACCAAGATGCCAACAAATACAAATCCTTATTCCACCCATTGTGTCCAGACAATCCTATGTGACAATTCTCCATCGTATGAAAAACTATTTTTGTTTGAAATATGGCAATTTCTCTTTGTCTGTGTTTATAAGCTCTTTCAAATACTGCCCTGTATACCGTAAGGTTCCTTACCATGTTTTCTTTCATACATCTGCAGAATAATTTCCATGTCTCTGCTGCTTTGTGCATGCTGACTTCCTGTTTTCACCCACATTATTCTCTTAGCCCTGCAGTAGGACTTGGAGTCAAAGACAACCTAATTATTTTAAATGAGATTTGGACATGAGCTCATTTCCAGCCTTCCTGCTTTATATCTGAAGGACAACAGATCTCAGTATCAAGTTCCAAAATGTTTTATCTAGAAATTATTTTTAGGAAGACATTTAAATGCTTGTAAATATTAGAGCTGCTGAACTCTAGTTCAGCACATTACGACACTCACTTCTACAGCTCTTCCTCTCCCATCTAGCCACATCCTGATAGAAAAAGATGAACTATTCTCAAACTGTCTTCAGTTTAGACCAACAAGCCTGCAGATGTTGTTTCACAACCCCTCTGTCATGCAGCAAAACCCACTGGAGGTTTCTTTCCTGTCCCCCGTTGCGCCCCCTCTCAGCTGTGCTGGAGCAGCAGCAATACCCAGCTATGAGGGTGGCAGTGGTTTAAAATAAATCCCACTGCATCGGTCATGCCACTAGTTGGTTTCCAGTGCTGCTTCAGAGATGGCAGTACAGATGCAGCTTGCAATGACCAACCAGAGCAGCAGTTTTCTCAGTTCTGTCACTGGAGAATTGTCTTCAGCTACTTTCTTACTTCTACTGGAACAGCAGTAGCAGCAGAAGGCAACAGGGCTGCTCCATGTGGGAAAGACCTGTCCTGTGGCACATAGTTATCGTAAGGCCAGCTCTCTCATCTCCAGACTTGCCTCTCTTAAGATGTCCATCAGCAAAAATCCCTTTTTAGTTTTAATTATTCTTCGCAGATCACTTATTCCAATGCTCTTGTTGCTGAGAATACTCAGGAATCTATGTACAGACAGGCTGTAATTAAGGCAGCACTGAAATTCCTCTCCTTGATTCCAGAGTACTTTTGTTTTGACGGGCAAAGCTCTTCTGTTGGGTGGACAACTGTTAAGACTCTTTAAAAACAGATTAAAAAGTATTAATGGTGGAAGTTCAGCACAAAACATTTCAGTATGTTTCATTATTTAGTCACTTATGGTACAGGCTCACGTCCTGACAAGTGATACAGATCAGGTTGTAAGGGTGCAAACCTAGTTTTGCTTTAGTTCGGTTTCATGCCTTGGTGTCTTTGCAGATGTCATTTCAGGGAGTTCCGCATGGGAGGAGCTGTCTGTGAAGCACAGGCCATTTTCTGATCCCTGACCTGCAAACTGATCTAAACAGAGCAACGCTTTTGTGGAGCTTCATTTAACCTGTGTGATCCACACTGCACTCTTAATACCCCACAAAATATCTCCAGCAGTAAAGCTACACAGGTAATTTGTAACATGCAGTATAGAAACTATTCCTTCAGTCCCCTAAGCAGGGTGTGTGGCTGTCCCCTAACAACACAACTGATGTTCCTATTGTGGCACATCCTAGACACGGCCACAGCCTTCAGACGGGTTTAAGGTAAGAAGCAGCTTAACTTGCTGAGTAAAGCTTGCAGATCAGGAACATAACTAAGACACACAAGAGAACCATCAGAACACTGCAGCTACAATCACAATGTCTGCGCAGCAGCCTCAGTAAAACACTTAATGTTTCCCACCTTCAAGAAAAACAAAACCCTCTTCCTTCAGAGCTCCAGTACAGCACAAACCACGATCCTAACAAGCATTTTATTTCTCAGATAAACAAGTATGCATATGATTTCTGCTCCTAGGCCCTCCTCAATTTCTTTGCTAAAAAGAGCTCTGTGAGGCATTAAAAACAGGATTCCTGGTGCACTCTTACAATAGGGAAAATTGAGTTGTTGCCAACTTTTTTTTCTTTTTTTTAAATAAGCACCATCTTGGAAGTGTAATTAGTAGCTCAAAAGGACATGTTAAGCATTTTAACTGCTTTTGCTATGGGACCTGCCTAGGCATTTGTATTCTTTAAGGCTCCACCTGCAGAAATCACTCAATGCAGAAAATGTGAGCACAGGTCCCCAAGCTCATGCCAAGCTTTTTTGTTGAGTGGACTCCTACAACCTAATTTCAACATGAGAACACAAATTACATGGCTTAATACAACATTAGTAATCTTGCATGATAACTGTAGAATAATCACAGCTCCAAGTGTGAAACACCAGCACTGAAGGGGGAATACAAAATGGATAAAGCCCTGCAGTGATTCAGTTGGGTTACTTTATGAAGTTTTTGTATGCAATGGAGCAAAGGTCAACATATGCATCGTGCAACTAGGACTAAAATCCAGAGGTAGGATCTGTTGAGATCTTTCTCACGGGGTTTTAAGGTAGAGGGCACTTTTTCAAGACTATCATACATCACTATTACTTTTGAATGCTACACTTTGCTCCTAGCAAAAAAAACAACCCAAAGTGTAAGTGACGTGCCTTCTATATTTCAGTTCTGAAGACTGAATGGCATCTTCATTCATGAAGTCATAGCCTGCACATAACCTTCATTCATAAATATACAGTCTGCGTATAACCTTCACTTCATGTGGCCCCATTTGGGCCAGGGATGGCATGTTACAAGCTCTACATATACCAACATACACACAATTACACAACAAAACAAGGGGCTAATTTTAGACCTTTGCAGCCTGCTAGCAAACAGAAGCAGGAGGCTGCAGTCTCTGTTGCAGCAGGTGCTGCACAACTGGCATGAGGAATTCTGGTTCACCACCCAGCCTTCTAGGCATGGTGGCAATCGAAATAACAACACACTGCACTACAAACAAGCATACTGAGCTTTTTAGTGGTAGTTTAACAAGATTGCTTTTATTTACACTGCCACACTTTAAAAAAATGGATGCTTTGTTGGTGAGTTGGGAAAGCATTTTCAGTTTGCTCTATCTTAGGAGTATTCCACCCATTTTAAAGAGTGTTTTCCATCATAAACGTTGCACTTGCTTAGAAGAATAAGTCTTCCTAATATCCAGTACTGCCCCATCTTAGTAATTTTTACCTTGATGAGTACAACGCTCACTCAATTTGTAGCCTTTTATGACATGCTTTCAAGACTTATATGAAATTTCAAAAGCATTTACCTGCCCTTGCAGTATTATAGTCTCATCTATCTCTATATTTCAGTTCTTCCTCTAAAATTCAAGTGAAGTAAACAGCTTGAACTCATTATGTCTGTATTGAGAGTTCAACTTCAAAATGCAAACAGAAAAGGGATGCGTGGTAGTGTCCTTTTTATAAACAGACTGATCCACACGATTCAGATGAAAAGTGAGTAAAGAGTTAATCCGAATGCAAAGGGCTCCATGTCAGTAATAGCATGAACAAACCCCCACAGAAGGCTTCATGGCTAGCAGCACACTCCACAGAGTCCAGATGAACCAGCAGGAAGAACAGAGGGCGGATAATCCTGTAAAATTACCCCAGTGGAAATGCTGATAAATTCCCAATTGTGAGACCTGCTCTAAAATGAAAAAAATGCAAGATACAATACAATTACCAGTCAACACTTGCACATCTCTGTATTTAAGCCAGACACATACTTCAGGTACTCCTTAATCCCTTGAATTTTGAATTTGTTACCCATTGTGGTGAGAGCTAGATTAAGAAAATAAACCCCAGAAAACAACCAATCAAATAAATAAACAACAAAAAAAACCAAACAAAAAATCCTGGAGATCTGCAACTCTGCTTACAAAGCAAATACCTGCCTGCAGAATTACAGCACGGGTTACTGTCAGAGAACTGTTGGGGTTGGAAGGGACCTCTGGAGATCCCCTCCTAACATGTTCCCTGCAGTTGGTTGTATAGGAAAGTGTCCAGACAGGTCTTGAATATCTCCAGAGAAGAACACTACACCTCCTCTCTGTGCTGCCTGTTCCAGTGCTCTGTCTGTATGCACTTGTGGAGATAGACATTAAAAAGAGATGGGGGTGGGGGTGAAAGGAAAACAACAAACCAGTTTGACTGTATTTGTTATGGTTGTACTTTCATACTACAGAACGCAGAGCAAGGCTGATACGAATTTTTAATTTTCGTGGAAGAGCTGTCAAGATCCACCGTGCTCACACCGTGCTCACACCACGACAGAGACAGATGTGCAGATGCAGACTTTCCTAAAGCCCCCTGGGATCCTGGCTTACAGGCCCCACAAAGCCCTGAGCCACACAGCTCCCTGCAGGCACACAGGCCCCGCTGACCCACTTCTCCGCGCTCCAGGGGCGCACACAAGCGTGCGCTCACACACGTGCCCGCTCACAAGCTCCACAACCCCTCGACTTCCCCATCCCGCACCCGAGGAAGCGCCGTCCCAATTTCCCTGTTTACCCCCTCAGGTGCGCGTCCCCCCGCCCCACATGTCAGCGCAAGCCCCGCCCCCCTCCCGCCCCCATTGGCCGCCGGCGCTGCCAATCACGCGCCGAGCGCTCGGGGCGGTTCTCCCCTCGCCCGGCCGCTCGCAGGGCCGCGGGCCGCCCGCTGCCAGCCGCAGGCCTCGCCCCGCCGCCCCAGCAGCGCCGTCCCTCGGCGAGCGGAGGGCTCAGGAAGGAAGGGAAACGAGATGGCTGGAAAACTGAGCTTTGGACCATTATCAGATTGATGTCATTTCCCTCTCTGCCTTTGTTTAATTATTTTTAAACAGTTGGGGGAAAAATATAAATACATATATACGTATATGTAAAGAACTTGGTGCTTCCAGATGCCGTTACGCTTATTCCTCTTCATTGCCCTCCGATGCGAACGCAGCCCGATTCCCGGCGAGAAGCTGCCAGTTCGCTCTGGCGGCGGATGGGCGGCAGGACGACCCCGGCCCCCGCCCGCAGCCCCAAGCCCGGCGTGGCCGCCTCCGGAGCGCCCGCCGCCCGCCCCTGACACCCAACAAAACAGCCCCCCCTCCTCTCACCGAACTCTAAGCCCCCCCCTCAAAGCGGAGGATCCCCCCCGCCCTACGCCGCTCGCCATAATAACGCCGCTCCCCTCCCCCCGGCACCCCCCGCCCCCGTTAACCCCCGCAGCCCCGCTCCCCGTCCCCCTGAGCACGAGCCCCCCCTCGAGGCGAGGCGCGGCGGGCGCACCCCCACCGAGCCCCTCTACCTGTGGCTGCAGCATCCCCGTCCCCCCGCCGCCCTCGCTCCGCCGCCTGCCTGGCTCTTTGTTTCCTGCCGCGGGCCGGACGGGAGAGCGGCTCCCCCCCGCCTCCTCCTCACACTCATTGAAAGCAAACAAGCATCATGGCGGCGGCGGTGGTGGTGGCGGCGGCTGCGGGCGGGCCGGCCCTCCTCCTCCTCCTCCTCCTCCTCCTCCTCCCTCCGCCCCGCCCGCCGAGGCCGCCCCCTCTCCGCGACTGCGCAGGGCCGGACCGCAGGGGGGCGCTGAGGGGAGCGCTGGGGTTCGTCGTGTCCCCCAAACGGAGGCGTGTGGTGGGAAGGGTGGGTCGGGGTGACGGAAAAGTGGATAAAAGTGACGGATCAGCGGCGTTTTTCTAAAACTCTGAGCGGTGTACAGCTGTAAAGCAGTTCCCAGTGCGAGGCCAGGAAGCCTAATTAAAGTCTTTTTGGAGAACTTTAAATTCCATGTAATTGCTATTCAGAGTTGCCGTACACGGCCTCAGGAGTGGATGGTGCGTTTAGCAGAAGTCTTTTCCACACCTATATCCATAATACAGCAGATCCTTGCCCCACATCCTTCACTGTGATATGGCCACCGGCTTCCATCCACTGGAACTCCCCTCCCCTTCCCTCCTCTCCTTTTTTGTTATTTGAACTGGTTAATGGATACATACTGAGGTACTTGGGAAAGTGAAGATGTCTGTAAGTGCTGTTAGTGCTGCTGCTGTGCAGCAAGGTCTCACGGTGGGATGAGGGACGAGGCCGTGTTAGGGGGTGGCAGGAAGGTGCTGTCAGATAAAATTGTAAATAACTTCAAAATGAAGAGAATTCCCTCTCATTATGCTCAACATGCTGTTGGAATATTCGAGCATTGGTGGTGCAGCAGCATCCCCTCAGCAAAAGGAACAGTAAAGAGAAAACCTCAAGGGAAGTTCAGGATAGGTGAAAGGTCCTTCAGCAGAGGGCGGTGGGCATGGAACAGGCTGCCCAGGCACAGCCCTGAGCTGCCAGAGCTCAGGGAGCACTGGGGCACTGCTATGAGTCATTGAATTTGGGTTTGGGTGGTGCTTTGTAGAGCCAGCATTTGGATTCAGTGGTCCTTGCGGATCCCTTCTAAGCTGGGACATTCTGTGATACTATTATGCACAGATCACAACTCTGTTTCTGGAATGGGAAAGCTAAGAGTTGAAGCCTCATCTGTTTTGGTATACATGGAGAAGTGGCTGGAAATGAATGGCACTCTCCTTTGTTGTGCAATGAGGCCTTCTCTACTAACAATGTGAAAGGCGCTGAACCAGGCTGTGCTTCTGAGGAACACCAACATCTGAGCAGTATCCACCATGAGCAGCGCTCTGAAATGTAACCCCAGCATGCCACGTACCCAGCCTGCTCGTAAAACATCCTCCTTAGAAAGGCTTAGTTAGTCCTTTGGCACTTGGTTTGGGAAACAATCATGCTGTACTTCAGATTTCTGTTCAGCCTTATCCTATCATATATCTGAAATGCTCTCGGATGGCAAACTACCTCCCCATGGCTGTGTCAGATACCTGAGCTGGCTTGGTCACTGGATATAAAGTGGGCTGTGCACTAGTGCCAGACTGGCTGCAGAGCCAACAGCCATTCAGAACAGAGCAGAGCAGCTCTACATGTCATTCTCTGAGCTGTATGCGTGTTCTTTCCAATAACCAGCTGTCCCTCACATTCTTCAGTTAATACTTTCTAGGTCAGATATGGCCTCAATAGACTGTATCATTTTGCCTAGAGCTAGTTCTCCAAAAGCAGTAGTAAAGTCTTTGAGCACATTGCAGGATTTTCCAGGAATTGCTTTTTGGCAAAGGAAGATCAAGTGGTTTTGTCCCTTAAAAATGGTTGCAGGGAAACTTTATGCCCCAAGGGCAGATGGTGGGGTAAAATTGCAGTATGTTTGGAAAGAGATATTGGGGAGAGCCTTTGCTGTTGCAAACAGAAAGCAAATGGCAAAAATACAAATGATTCTCAAATAATCAACATAAGCAAAAAAAAAAAAAAAAAAAAAAAATTAGATGAATTAAATCAATCACAAAATAATTCAGTATTATTGCCCATTATAGAAGCTATCAGTAGAATCAGAGCACATTCTGAGTTGGAAGGGACCTGTGTAGATCATCAAGTCCAAATTCCGGCTCTGCACAGCATCACCCAAAAATCAGACCATCACAGATTACAGCCATTTGGCAAATTTCAAGTTATTTAACTCTCTGGTAACTTTACAGGTGTATGGGAGCTGCTGAATCACGGCCTGAACCTCTGATTGATCACCTGAGGTAAGCAATAAACTATGGGAGCACAGGTGAAGGCAATTCATCTGTGCTGCTGGAAGGGGTGGAGCCTGGCTGCACCTCTGCTAGACCCATTTAAGAGCTGAGTACCAGTAGAGAAGGATCTCTTCTGGGGATCTCCTCTGCTGGAGTTTTGTAAGTGAGCCCAGGATATGGGTAAGTGTCTTATCTTTTCTGCTCTGGTGTAATCGCTACATAGCTAAGCTCCTTGGTATACTGTAATGTCTGTATGTTTATTGGTTGTGCACCAGGCAGCTCGAAAGGCAAATGAGCAGCTTGAAAGGCAAATGGGATCCTGGGCTCCATCAGGAGAGGGGTGGTCAGCAGGGAGAGGGAGGTGATTGTCCCTCTCTACTCGGCTCTTGTGAGGCCCCATCTGGAGTCCTGTGTCCAGGTGTGGAGCCCTCAGTATAAGAAAGACATTGAGATTTTGGAAAGGGTCCAGAGGAGGGCGACTAAGATGATCAGAGGGCTGGAGCACCTCCCCTATGAGGACAGGCTGAGGGAGTTGGGCTTGTTCAGCCTGGAGAAGAGAAGGCTGCGGGGTGACCTCATTGCAGCCTATCAATACCTGAAGGGAACCTACACCCACGAGGGGAGTAAACTCTTCAAAAGGGCTGACAACAGCAGGACTGGGGAAATGGATCCAAGTTGAAGGAGGGAAGATTTAGGTTGGACGTTAGGGGGAAGTTCTTTACAAGGAGAGTGGTTAGGCCCTGGAACGGGCTGCCCAGGGAGGTTGTGGATGCCCCGTCCTTGGATGTGTTCAAGGCCAGGTTGGACGGGGTCCTGGGCAACCTGATCTGAATGTGTGTGTTTGGTGACCCTGCTAGGCAGGGGAGTTGGAACTACATGATCCTTGAGGTCCCTTCCAACCCGGGTGATTCTGTGATTCTGAGTGTGTTATGTATGAAAGAATCTCCACACAACAATGACAGAAACCCAACAAGAGTCCAGAATAACAGCCTATCGTATCAGCTTTTGTTTGGACCATCTCTTTGCTTGTGTGGATGGAAGCAACAGAATGAAGTAAAAACATGTATGTGGTTTTTTTTTTTTTTTAGAAACTGTTATGCTGTACGGAATTTCCTGTGCAGAAGTGCTGGTGCTCATCCGTACGTGTGATTAACTTTTGCTCTGTGCAAGTGTTATCAGACCTGTAACCACGCAAACACTGGAGCAGATGGTCTGTGCTGGTGTCGGTGTTTCAGGTCTGGGTGCCTAATGAGATCTGAGAGTGAAATATGAGCCTCTCTTCATTTTGTTTCTCATAGTGGATAGATTTTTTTGCAAGCACTCTTGTTGCTCAAGGTCACAGATTCATCAATCAGGTGAGATCCCTTCCCATTAATCTTTTACCTGCCCATGAGTTTCCCTACATATGGTGAGCTGCTCGTTGCATGGTGTATAGTTGTCCTGAGTTCAGGATGATATTAAAGATAATCAGAGCAGAAACTAATCTGCACTGTTAAGCTCAGAGTATGGTATGTCTAAATTTTCATTCGTTACCTATAAACAAAATGCTTTTTTGCACTGTGGAACAAACTTCAGGTGGCCACCTTTGGGCCAAATTCAGTTTTCGATATGTACCCAAAAGTGAGCATCTGTATAATCAATAGACTCAGCAGTTCCCATACAGCATCCTATAACCCTTCCAAACTGGGGCTAAGAGCATTTGCTGTGAGTAGCTTAATGATTCCCAGCACTGCCACCTCCTGTCACTTCTGTCTGGGACAGCCTGGAATGGTTCTGGGGGTGCTGCTCTGTCCGTGTTGATGACACTTGCAGCTGTTTTGAGGCCCTGTTGCCTTTGTGCCCTGACAGAAGGATGTGAAGCCTGTGGCAGGGAGTTGTCTCTGTGGCAGCATTAGGGTACTTTTTGCTTTGCTAAAATAGCCAGATTTGGTTAAGGCTTGTTTGACTTCTAAATGCTTCGGGCTAGAATACATATCCTTCATCCTTCATGGGTCATGCACGATGAGTGAACTGGCAAGACATCACCACATGAGAACAACACAAACAGAGAACAAACAGAGCTGTCATGGCTTGTGAAAGCTCTGGTGTCTGTGGTTACAGAAGAGTTGAACAAGGAGATTTTCAGTGCTCTCCTCTATTTCCTGTACCCTGGAAATGTGAAGAATATAAGCAGATGAGAAATGAAGCAAAGAACTATGGCAAAACAGGAGAGAGAACAAGGAAGAAAGTAGAAGCAGAGAGGGACCACAAACAGGAGGGCAGAACTTGGTTACAACCTGTATTTTTTCAGAGTATGTGGGTAGAGAGACAGATCTGAATTGAACAACAGCTTCTATTGCTAGTGAGGTCATGGGATCACTGCTTTGAATGTGGAGCATTCCTAAAATGACAAGTACTCTGAAAAATTCCAATCTTAGGGTTCTCAGATTGGACGTCTGAAATCATTGCATGTTTAATGATTTCAGCCTTTGGTTTTATGGCCTGTTCACCATCTACCAAATGAATGTAATGGCATTGCCTGTAACAGTTGGATAATAAAGATAAATCTTTGTTGCTTATTGAGCACTGAAACCACAGTGAAAGCCCCATACAAAAAGCACTGAGGAAATTCCTGCTTTCCTCTGCGTGGACTGGAGTTTTGTAGCTTCCATAACTCTTGTATGCAAGAAGATGATCAAAAACTCTCACATAGCCACAGCAGAAGTAAACTGAGGAATTTTAATGCTGGGATGTCACAGTTTGTAGGTACTTGACTTTGCAGCCTGAGGTATTATATTAATATGCATTATTGAACAAAAATGCTCTAAGTACATTAAAAGAAATTGAATGTGATGAAAGTTTTTG